TTTTCTGTGGTTGATGTCTCTCTCCAACCACAAAGTTGGGCCATTATCATATGACCTCCCCAGATAAAAATATTTACTCCCAGTCTCTTTACATACAAGCATTCATGCAAAAAATTGGTTCAATGGACACTTAGGTAGAAGTTGGTAATAAAGGATATGTGTTCTGTTCTGTGGACACTTACTGACCGTCAGAGAGACTCACAGGCTACTAACAAAAGCAGCCTGAGATGGGGCAGCACCAAGAGGTCAGGAGGAATCTAGCAAAGACCTTCCTGGATGTGGTGATGCCTAAGCTGAGTCCTAGAGAGGAAGAAGGAAATGTCCGTATAAAGGTGAGGCACCAGGCCAGAACAGTAGCACAGCAGGTGGGGCATTTGCCTTGCATGCAGCTTACTTAGGTTTGATCTCTGGCATCCCATATAGTCCCCGAGCACCACCAGGAATAATCTGAGTGCAGAGTCAGGATTAATCCCTGAGCATCACTAGATGTGATCCAAAAAGCAAAAGCAAAACAAATGGGGTTAAGGTGATTGCCTTGTTTGCCCTAGTTTAATCCCTGGTCCCACATGTGCATTCCTGGTATGATCCACCATCTCCTCACCTAAAAAAATAATAATTTTGGGCAGGCTGGAAGTGGGAAAATTTGCAAGTGGTAGAAAGAATGTTCTAGGCAAAGAATGTTCTGTCTGGTGGCCAGAGGGAACATGACTTATTGTGGGAACTAGGAGATATTTATACTGTCATTTGCATGGTAGGTTTCTTTGTAAACCAAGTTTAGTGTGCTCTAGAATAAATAACTGTCTCTATCGGGTCCTTAGTGTAATGAGCGAGGAGGGGAGAAGGTCAAATCATTGACTAACTGGTTCATTCATTCACTCACTCATATATTCAGTGAATGTGGATTTGGCACTATCTCAGTGCTAAACACCGGAGCAAGTTTTGTAGCTAGAGGTCACAAGGCAGCATGTGGGTGCTGAGATGATGCATGTGCATTTGGTGGCTGAGTGCCACCTCCCATCCTCCCCAGGCCTCCCCAGCAGAGAGACAGAGAGATCTCTGGCATCCCACCAGACCACAGCCTGATGGTGAAAATGGCTCTGCTCTGCTAACATACTTTTAGAACATCCAAAGGGGTCAGGTGTATAGGATTGCATGTTCGTGTGATTTACAGAGGTAAAACATTTCAGCAGAGGCATTTCTCAGGGGGAGATAAACTCAAGGAGATGCTCTGTCTCCCAGGGATATCTATATTGCTTTTCTCTTTCCTTCTAGTGGTATATATCAAGCAACTAAATCAAACAGTTAAACAATTCATTCTACTTCTTACCAATACTTGCAGTTGTTTGGATAAACCCTGTAAGGGATAAAGATCCCAAAACTCAGTTCTCTGGACTCTGAGAGCAAGTGAGACTTTTACCGTAAATCCCAGACTAAGTCCTCAGGCCAGTTCAGCTTGTCTTTCCCCATGGGGTCCTGTCTTGCATCAAGCTTGCATCAAGATCATGCATTTATTTCTAGAATGTCCCATTTTGATGCCGGGATAGCTTTGCCCTGGTTCCATCCCAATCCCACGGCAGGACCTCCCTTTTGGGGTGTGTTAGGAACTATAGCAAATGAAGCCTGAATCAAGTAATTATGACTAAGTAATTTTGCCCAGGATTAGATACATTTCAGAGTTAATCAACTCCCAAATATTAGCAGCATAGCATTAAGGTCTTTCTGTATTTAAGCAAAGAACATTGCTTTATAGTTAAATATGAAAAGGCTATAGGAGAAATAGAAAAGCAAGTAATTCACTACAAATACAAAATTCAGAATTACCAGAAGGTTTTGGCTTATAAGTGGCCAAGGTTGACCTGGGGAACTGTGACAATGAAGTGTAAAACACAAAGGAAAGGTTAAAGATAAACTCAGGGGATTAGGGATATGTGAGCTTCGCTGGGAGGAGGAAAAGGGGCAATTCACTGATGAAGCCTAAAACACTTAGGGTTAATATCCAACAATGAGCTGATAAGGATCAGGAAGAAACTAGTCTTCTGGTATCCCTATACCACAATGGGAACTCTCTCTTCCAGGGCCTCCTTGCGAACTATTGGGTGTCATTATCGGGTAAGTTTGTGTTCTCAGTGATTTGGGGGTGCCTGGAAGAGGAGGATATTATTGACACCCAATGCATAGAGGCCAGGATACTGCTAAAAACCCTGCAGGGACTATCCAGGACAATCCGCACAACAAATTATCTGGCCCCAAGTGTACATAGAGTAGAGTTGGGATACTTTGGTGTAAGCCATTGGCAACCAAGTGAATTTCTGAAAGATACAGAGGATGTGAGTCTGGCACCAGAGTACCAGGAGTGAGAGCACCCGTCCAGCCAGCACAGTACAGAGGTTCAGAGACTTGCTGGTTTCATTCATGCGACACTGTTAGGCTCTGGGCTACTTCTATTGGAAAGTGGCCTCAGTCCATTAGAGAAGGTGTCCGGGCAAGGGCGGGGACGGGGGAGGGTGTTGCCTATAAACCTAACATTGTTACTGCCCAAGTACCTAGCCTGTGCTGAGTATTCATGGGGATCACTCCCTGGACATTTCCCAACAGTCTCCTAAAGGTGCTCTTGTTTATTCCAACTGTACAGTTGTGAAAACTGAGGTCAGGGAGAACAACATGCCACTGTGGAAGAGGTACTGAGGAGACTAACGGCCTTAATCTGCCCTTCACTATGTGTCCCTAGTGTATTTTATCTTTTTGGTGCTCTTATTCCCAAGCTGTAAAACAATAGCTACTTTAGTTCACTCCCACATGAGTCTCTTAGTGGCGTTTTTGTGTCACGGACAAATTAAGAGCAGTGTGTATCCTGGTGGGGAAAAAAAGGTAGACATGGCCCTTCTCTTATTCTGACTATGTTAAGAAAGAATGACATGGTGCAATACATAAATGAATGTCTAGATTTGTTTGTTCTGATGGCTACTTGTGACTTGGTTTTGGGGACTATGATCAAGATTGAATTTGCGTTCTGAGTATGTGCTGCTCCTCATTTGTGGAATATAAAATAACATGAGACTGACACCCAAGGACAGTAGACGCAAGGGCCAGGAAGATTGCCTTATAGTTGGAAGCCTGTCTCATGAGCTGAAGTAGAAGGCAGTGGAATAGAGAAGGGATCACTAAGTCACTGATGGTTGGAGAGATCGCTCGGGATGGGAGATGTGTGCTGAAAGTAGATAAAGGACCAAGCGTGATAGCCTCTCAGTATCTATATTGCAAACCATAATGCCCAAAAGTAAAGAGAGAGTATGGGGGAAATTATCTGCCATAGGGGCAGGGGGAGGGCTGGGGGGTGGGGGCGATACTGTGTCTATTAGTGGTAGAGAATGTGTACCGGTGGAGGGATGGGTATTCGATCATTGTATGACTGAAACTGAAACTTGAAAATTTTGTAACTGTATCTCACGGTGATTCAATAAAAAAATAAATAAATAGGAATAAAATAAAAGACCATAAAAAAAGAAAGTTGAGACTTTCTCTTCAAACCACACTGTAAATAAATAATAATAATAATAATAAAAGGTATGTGCTGCTCTTGCCCTTTGAGCCGTATCTGGCTCCAAGAAGAAAACAGAGAAGGGACTGGGTAAGTGGCTCAGCAGTAAAGTTTATGCCTCATAGGTATGTCACACCTTGGAATTGATTCCTGTTACAAGAAAAGTAAAGGGAAGGGTGGGGGAGAGAGGGGTGAGGGGAGGAGAAAGAGTAGGAGGGAGGGAAAGATAACAGAGGCTACATAATCAGAATTTGAGGTGTATTATTATTTTTATTTGCCTGGGGAAAGATTTTTAAGTAAGTCTTATCTGAACTCAAAGAAGAGACAGGAATAAACCAGAACATTGAGACCCAGGAAGATTAGTTAATTTGCCAAAGGAAACTGAGCTAATCATTGTAGGAACAAAAATCTAAATCAAGTGAGTCTGATTTCTAAATTATAATAATTTTCAAATAATTCAACATATTTCCAAAAGATCAACTTTTCTTTTTTAAAATTTTTTGGGGGGTCACACCCGGCGATGCTCAGGGGTACTCCTGGCTTTGCCCTCAGGAATTACTCCTGGTGATGCTCAGGGGACCATATGGGATGCCAAGGATGGGACCCACATGGGCCACATGCAAGGCAAACGCCCTACACACTGTGCTATCACTCCAGCCCCAGAGATCAACTTTTCAAGGGAAGAATCTATTTTTTAGAATCACCCCAGCACATAGTAGGCACCTGACATTATTATCATTGAATAAACAAATTTGAAATATTTTTTAGGTGAACGGAGTAGATTATTAAAGGAACCATGCCATCTTGCTTCACAAGGAAGAAAATTCTTGGTTCCAAACCTTGGAGAAAGATTAACTATTTAATTTTGATTAGAAATAAAATAAATGAATGATAGTATTGGTGGAAGAGGGATTAATAACAAAATACCTCCTTTATAGACATTATAATAGGAGCAAACAATAAGAATACATGTAATAAACCATAATCTCTTCATTCAGGCGCCAACATGGTAAACATCTATAGTTATGTCCAGTGTCAGAGTCACATGGTCACAAAGGTCGCTAGAGTGACCAACTTTGAGTGATAGCCCAGGACTAACCGAGGCGGACTGGAGAGGCCACTGGAGGAACAGGAAAATCTGAAGCAAGGGACAGAGCATGGAGACTCACCAAGCACTTTGAGGGCAAGTGCAGAGCAAAAAGACCTGGGAGACGGTGCCAAGGAAACGGTGCTTGCCTTGGGGACAGAGATGGGGAGACACGGACACCTGAGTGATGGTGCTGTGCGGAGACTTTGTACCTCAATACCCGAAAGTGAAACTCTGGGAACCCTATTGCCTAAACTCTTAAGGGGGAACAACAATAACAATATTCTGAAGGTGACTGCTGTGTGAGGACTTTGGACCTCAGCACAGAGGCTGCCTGGAAAGGGTGTGGGCCCTTGCAGGCGCCACTGGGTGAGCTCACCACTGGACACGGGACGGATACGTGGGCCCGGCCACGCGCGGGGTGGGGGTGGGGGGTGTCAGGACATGACCAGAATTGGCGGATTCCAGGCAGGCTGAGAGCTGGCGGGAACTGCCTTGCTCTTTGCCCCAGTGGCCTCCAAGGTACTTCCTCCCTCCTTTCCATAATGCAAATTCCCCACCTGGATGCAGACAGTTTTCTGAGCTAGAGGGCTCCTAAGGCATTGCGTGTTCCTTGTGAATTTTTTTTGGGTCGCACCCAGCATTACTCCTGGCTCGGCACTCAGGTATTACTCCTGGCAGTACTTGGGGGACCATATGGGATGCAGGGCATCGAACCCGGGTAGTCAGCATGCAAGGCAAATGCCCTACCCACTGTACTATCACTCTGGTCCGTGAAAATTATTCTTCTCTTACATGACCTGCCCACCCCCCTCAGTAGAACACTGCCTGCCCCCATTCACACACCTGGTCTACACCTGCTGGTCTACACTCACACCACTTTATCTTCTGCATCTCGAGGACGCACACCCAGGCTGCACACGAGAGTAAACAGTCTTTCTTCCTGAACAAACGGATACACCCAGCACTGACCATGGGGCTGTAGCTTCTCTCTCCTGACACATGCGAGGCATGGGGTCAAAATCAATAAAGCTCCATGCTGTGATTCTACCAATGCTGATTTATTCATTTTTCTGTGACTGGGCGTTAAATTTGTTTTCAAGTTTTTGGGATTTGGGGATATTGCAAACAGCACTAGTAAAAGCAGACCCCTAATTGTCACTGGAGAGATGTTTTGCCTGCACACACACAATCCTGCAGCCTGTGTACCCCCCGGAGAAGACCGGGTGGGGTGCAGGGCTGGGGTCCAGCTACCAGCAATCTGAGGGTTTATTTACACTTAGAAGCTTAGTAGAGGGGCTGGAGCAATAGCACAGCAGGTAGGGTATTTGCCTTGCAAGCAGCCAACCCGGATTCAATTCCCAGCATCCCATATGGTCCCCTGAGCACCGCAAGGGGTAATTTCTGGGTGCAGAGCCAGGAGTAACCCCGGTGCATCGCCAGGTATGACCCAAAACAACAACAACAACAACAACAAAAGAAGCTTAGCAGAATTCCACTAAGTGGGAAAAATCAGACTCGAAAGAAAACCTGCAGTCTAACTCTGCCATAAGAAAGAAGCAGCGGAAACTGTTGTCCCGGGACCCATTACCCTTGCATGAGAAAGCCGAGGGGAGGCCCAGTGCTGGGGCTTGGGGGGACAGGAGAACCACTTTATCTGGCTGCCTGGACACAGACTTGCTCCCTTCATGAGAAAGTATGTGAGCCACAGACTTCTGCATTGTGCACATTCTGTAGCACTGCACTTTCCTCCTGTTGTTCATCAATTTGCTCTAGCAGGCACCAGTAAGGTCTCACAACAAATTGTGAGACTTGTTACCATTTTTGACATATTGAATACGTCACGGGAAGCTTGCCGGGCTTTGCTGTGCAGGTGAGATACTCTCGGGAGCTTACTGGGCTCTCCGAGAGGGGCGGAGGAATTGAACCCAGGTTGACCATGTTGGCTGCATGCAAGGCAAATGCCTTACCCACTGTGCTATCGCTCCAGCCCTGTGCACATTCATATATGTATAATGTGTATGTATGTGTGTGTGTGTGTGTGCTCATGTACGTAATATTTTCAGGCCAGGGGTTGAGCTCAGAGATAGAGCCCCTGCCTTGCATGTGAGAGACCCTCTGTTTGGTCTCCAGAACCACAGAAACAAATAAACCCCCGGCCCCTGAAACCAGAAAAGAATCTTCTTTTCCAAGTGTCCCTTGCTCCCTTCCTAATATCCCTCCTCCCAGCACTTGCTTGGGAACTGCCCCCAACAGAGTCCCCTGCATGACCAGGTGGCTTATTCCCCTACCTAGTGTCCATGCCTGGTTTCATTCTCTCTTGTTCAAGGGCTACTGCTTCCTTCTCCTTTGTGTAAACACACAAAAAATAAAAAGGCCGGCGGTCTTGCCGTTTCCCCACTCCAGGGAGGTCGAAGGCGATGGTCAGGTGAAGGAAGGAAACGAGGCCAAGCTAGTTGGTCTTAGTAGCTGTTTATTACATGGAAGAGATGTATGTCATGGAGGCCTCAGGAATCCTCGAGCACGTGCGCCTTTGTTCTCTCCGCTTCTGTCCTCAGCCCCATCTTCCCAGGTTCTCTGATGCACGTGTCCCCCAGTTCTCTGGTGCACGTGACCCCCAGGAAGCCCTGAAATCTCCCTTATATAGATCATAGTACCTCTAAAGGGCGCAATATAATGATGTCATCAGAAGGAGTTACAGAAAGAACGTTGAGGCGGCAAACCATACATTGTTTCCTTACATCCGCAGGCCAGTAATCCTGGCCTCACCTTTTCACAAGCTACAAGTACTTCGATTAGCACAACAAAGACCAGTCTGCTAGAGCTTGGAATCTACATCTCCAAAAAAGCAGTCTCATCCAAGCTAGTCAGGACACACAGAAAACTGCTTCTAGGACGTGTTTCTCCTCTCCTTGTCCAACCAACATATAAGCATACATAATAGTAATCATTTCGTATGGACACAGTAAGAAATACTTTGGGCTTATAGAATTGCTCTCCTAGGGCCATCTCGATCTCAGACTGCAGTGCTCAGGCCAGATATCTTTCCTATTCCTAGCAGCAGGGCCCTAGTCTTGTCGTTACTTTTGGATCATGATATCATTTGCCTATGATCAAACTCTTAACTTATAGTTAAGAATCGTGGCACCTTGGCCTGGCCCATCGCGATGCCAGGGTAGCACATAACTTACCGGCTTGCCCTGGTTCCATCCAGTCCCACGTCGGGACCCTGCCCTTGGGGTGCTAGGAAGTGAGGGCAACTGAGGCTTAAGTTGAGAAGGCAGATGCCCAGGAGTGAATAATATTCTAAGCCAATCAATTCCTAAGTTACCGAGCATATTAATTAATTGTCTTCCTGTATCCATACAAAAGGACATTGCATTAAAGTAAACTGCTCAAAGACATAAGGAGAGGAGAAAGACAATATTAACTTACAGTACAGCTTCAGTGTCTAAGAAGGATGAGACCTTACAAATTGGTTGGGGAAGAGAGCATAGAAGAGGTTACAGGCAGACAAAGTAATGGGAGTGATTCGGGAGCACTGTGATGAGTGCGATTCTGATAAACCTAAGCTCCGTGTACTCCAACATCTCCCCCTTTTCTGTTTACAAAATGCCAAAGATTATAATAGTTCCGACGGGTCATGGATTCAGCATTAACTAGTCTTTTGCGAACGAGGCAGCATCCTATAACCAGTAGAGTGAACATGATTAATAAGGCTATACCAGCACTACCAATAGCGTGGGTAATGCTTTGCCACCATGACTTCGGATCAAGGCCCTGTAATGCATCCGCAATACCCTGAGCTAAATTCTCATACTGAACACCTGGGAGTTTCTCCTTAAACACTTGAACGATCTCATTCTGAAGGGCGAGAGTATCCAAAGACATATTTCCCTTCAGGTCCTGCAAATGGTATCTGATTTTTTCCCAAGCATGAGCAGACCCATTATATCTATGGGGAGTGACACAGAAAGAAGAGCTATTCCAGTCACAAAACAGTCTCATCTGTTGCTCTAAGATATCTACTCGCCCCTGGACCCAAAGTAGCATTTGTTGTAAAGTGTCCAATCGTTGTTCAACATCATGGTTGACGGTAGCCTGCATTTTCCAGAGGTGGTGAGAGTCGTTTTGCCATGTTTTCACGAAATCATGCGTCTGGATTGAGGTTTGGAGAGCTGTTCCTGCAACGGCAGCAGTAGTCGTCACAGCAATGAGTCCCAGAATAGCCACAATCAGGAGTCCAAGGAATCGTCGGGAACGCCTGAGCAATCGTGTCATAACTTCTGTCAGGAGTCCTTCAGCAGGGGAGCATTGCCATTCTCTGGTCAGGTTCACTGGTAGCCATATGTGTGATCTGGCCTTTAATAAAATTATACTCTGGGGAGAATCTTGGACTGAGAGGGAAGAATTGAGACAGGTAAATAATGCACAATCACGACAAGAAACCTTCTTATTGACAGGGTCAAAAGAAAGAGTGCCTCGAGCAAACACATAAGGATGCTTGACACACGCCTGCACATGGAAAGAGGAGTTATAACTGATATAATAAGTGAAGTTGAGTTGTTTAGAACCATCTAAGTATCCATCCCAATAGTGGCCAGGGCTTAGGGCTGCAGCCACCTTCCATAGGTCAGTGTGTTCCGGATAGAGTGTTCCATTACGCATAGCTCGAGGGCGAGGGGGAGCATACCCCCCATCGTGCCATTCCAGTGGTTCCTGGGTCTGGATATGACAGCTTGGAGGAGAACTAAAAAGAGAAGTGATACACCACTTGGCTGCAGGGAGAAAATGGCATCTAGTATAATCCAAATCATCAACACAATCAGGGACGAACTTGCCTCTAGGTCCCCAGTCTATCAACTCGTAGTCATCACGATGCGAGAGTTTGCCTAGGGGGGACCGGCATTCAGTCCACTCTCTGGGTGAATATTGCCAATCTTTCATAGAGATAAATTCACAAAGTGGAATGGAAGGTTGACCTAGGGAGGTTAAGTTAGTGGGCATCACATCAATGGAAAGGGAACGTGTAAAAGAAAAATTCCTTTGCCAGTGATAAGAAGTGGTATGCATCAGGGGTTCAGTATGGATCCAAGTCTGAGGGCGAAGAGAAAGACATGGAGGCACTCCAATGCAAACAGGATCGAGTGAATATCCTAGAGAAAAGTTGAAAGGTGTCCCCTCTTCAAAAGGTAATTGAGGCATCTGTGAGTCCCAAGGAGAGGGTAAAAGGAAGGAATTGTTAGTCCAAACACGGGGTCCTGGCATGGTCCAATCCACAACCTGTAAAAGTGGGGGGTGGGGAATGTAAGTCCAATAGACATGTTTAGCTTCACTTACCACAGGACTGCAGAACAAGACTGCTATTATGATCAAGAATAGGTTAGCAAGGGTAAAGAGATCATAGGAAGTTCTGAGGACCGTTTCTCCTTTTCGGATCTGATCCTTGGTACGACCCCATGATATATTACAAGGGCTAGAGGCCTTTGTCTGGGGGTTTTTTCTGCCGACCTGCAGGGGTAGTATTTTCTTTGGCAGATTCTCTGTCGTTGGAAGTTCCTCTGGTTTCTTGATTTTCAGCCGGGACAGGTTTAGGGATGGCTTGGAGTTGGGCTTCTGAGGGTTGTGGGGTCTCTGATGGTCTGAGGGCCATATCAGGTGGGTAAATTCGACTCCTGATGAGACGCAACGGGACCCATAATTTCTTAGTTGGATTATCATCTGTTGAGACAAAAGCATAGCCTTTTCCTCGAATGAGGAGTTTCCCCGCTACCCATTCTTTTTCAATTTTAATCCAAATAGGAGAATTAATAGTTTTCTGGGCTTGTGCGTCTTCTTGGAAATGTTTTTCAGCTGCTGTATGTGGCTCTCCTTGAGGTAAATTTAAAAAATTTAAAGTAAACAATGTCAAGGATAAGGAATCAAGTGGAGGCATACCTCCCTTTTTGTTTTTTAATAATTGTGTTTTGAGGGTTCTGTGAGCCCGCTCAACTATGCCTTGTCCTTGTGGGTTATAAGGAATTCCAGTAATGTGTTTAATTTGCCATTCATCACAGAAAGCTTTAAAAGCTTTACTAGTATAGGCTGGGCCATTGTCAGTCTTGATAGCAGAGGGAATACCCATGACAGAAAAGCATTGTAGTAAAAATGAGCAAACCGCTTTGGTTCTCTCAGAAGACATGGGAATGGCCCATATGAAGTGAGAATAAGTATCTATAGCTACATGGAGAAAAGGTTTTTTAGGAAAGCACGTGACATGGGTAATATCCATTTGCCATAATTCATTGGTCTGCAGGCCTCGGGGATTAGCTCCAGCCACATGGGGGGTGCAGTTTAAAGGGGCACAGATAGAGCAAGCATGGACAATACGCTTGGCTTCTCGCATAGGAATACGATGGTGAACATGGAGGCGGCGGGCATTTGTGTGTAAGGCCTGGTGCTCTTCTGCAGCAGAGGTAAAAATTGGCGCCGCCAAGAGGTCAGCAGCTTCATTTCCCCGAGCCATAGGTCCGGGGAGACCGGAATGAGATCTGATATGAGTAATGAAAACGGGTTCAGAGCGCTTGGGGTGCTAGGAAGTGAGGGCAACTGAGGCTTAAGTTGAGAAGGCAGATGCCCAGGAGTGAATAATATTCTAAGCCAATCAATTCCTAAGTTACCGAGCATATTAATTAATTGTCTTCCTGTATCCATACAAAAGGACATTGCATTAAAGTAAACTGCTCAAAGACATAAGGAGAGGAGAAAGACAATATTAACTTACAGTACAGCTTCAGTGTCTAAGCAGGATGAGACCTTACAAATTGGTTGGGGAAGAGAGCATAGAAGAGGTTACAGACAGACAAAGTAATGGGAGTGACTCGGGAGCACTGTGATGGGCACAATCTGATAAACCTAAGCTCCGTGTACTCCAACACTCCTTCATTTCTGGGTCTCCCATAACCAATGATGCTGGTGGTGGCCCTGGTTCCTGGCCACAGATCCCTCCTCCACCCTTGCCATACACACACACACACACACACACACACACACACACACACACACAAACACACACACAGGTTCCTGCTGGGATGGGAAGTTGTCTCATCAGTTTTGAAGAAGAGACAATTAGAGAAGTCTGATCAGAGAAGGAGACAAAGGCTTCCCAAGGTGCTAGGATAGTTCTGTGACAACCTGGGATGGTACATATCCTGGTGGAATGACTTGGTGTAGGGTAGGTTGATTCCCAATGCCTATACTACCCTCTGTTCCTACTGTGTGTGTGTGTTGTGTGTATGTGTGTGTGTGTGTATAATAAAATACACAGACATAAAACAGCCTTTTGTTTTTGTTTGGGGGCCACACCTGATGGTACTCATGGTTTACTCCTGACTGCACTCAGGAATTACTCCAGGTAGGTTCAAGGAACCACATGCGGTGCCAGAGATTGAACCCGGGTTGACTGCATACAAGGCAACTTCCCCACCCGGTGTATGATAGCTCCAGCCCCTAAAACTTACCCTTTGAACCACTTCAAAGTCTGCAGCCCATTGACCTCAGGGGTAACTGCACTGTGTATGACCATCTCCACACTCATCTCTAGAAAGTTTTCCTCTTCCCTCAACTGACACAGTGACTCTCCATTCCCTTTCACCTACTTTTATGCTTCTCTTTCTCTGTGAGTGTCTCTTCCCAACTCTGAGGTGAGGGTCAGGTCAGGTACATGAAGGACATCCACAGGGCCTGGAGGAAAGGTCCCAGGAAAGACATTTCACTCAATAACAAACAAATCAGGACTATGATTAGACATTTGTCTGTAGCCTGAATCAACCCTTGGGTTAATAAAGTGTGTGCATTGGTGCTGACACCACACAGCTCACAGCTGGATTCCAAGGCCGTTTGTTAAACAAATCAATGAAGCTTCTGTTCAGAAATCCTGGCCCTTCCTAGGTAGCCAACATCCCATGCCCAGAAAGCACAAACATTGAAGCCAGCACTCCGAGTCCATTTTCTTCTTTCCTTTCTGATCATCTCACATGTGACCCTCCAGCCACTCTCTGGGTGATCAGCCTCTTTCTTAGCGGGTAACAAGTCTACCAGAGATCACACAGTGGACAAATGGGTCCAAGTCTGAGTGACTCCCAAGCACAGCACTTTTTCACTTTTTAAAACAATGTTAGTTTTATTTTTTAATTGATTGAGAACCTGTGATTTACAATACTATTAATATAGTATTAATATAGATTTCTCTTTCATATAATTCCAACACCATACCTATTCGCCAGTGTACTCACCTCCAGATCATTCTGTATCTATTTCTTTCCTTCTGAATGACTTCACTTAGCATGATCTCCTCTAGTCCCCCATGTTTCTACAAGCTGTTTGATTTTATTCTTTCTTTAGAGCTGCATAGTTTTCCATTGTGTCTATATGTCACAACTTCTTGATCCATTCATCCACAACTGGGCATTTGGGTTGTTTCCATATCTTGGCTATTGTACTAAGTGCTGTGATATTGTGTGTTTTGGGAATAGATGCCCAAAAGTGGTGTCACTGGATTTTATGGTAGTTTTATTTCTATTTTTTAAATAGATATCCATATTTCCATAGAGGCTGACCCAGTTGGCACTCCTTCCAACAATATGTGAGGGTTCCTTTTTCACCACAATCCCACCAACACTGGCTGTTTCCAGACTCTTAAATATGTGCCATTGTCACAAGCATGCTTTCCTTTTTAACCTTTTTATTGAATAAGTGTGAGATAGACCCTTACATAGCTGTTCATGATTGGATTTCAGTCATAAAATCCAACACCCATTTTGGATTATTCCAACACCCATCTCTCCACCAGCATACATTTCCCAACACCAGTGTCCCCAGTTTCCCTCCCATCACTCCCACCCCCATCCCCTGCCTCCAATTATGTCAGGCACTTTTCTTCTCTCTCTCTCTCTCTCTCTCTCTCTCTCTCTCTCTCTCTCTCTCTTCTCTCTTCCTTTTGGGTATTTTGGTTTACAATATTGATACTGAAAGGTTATCAAAAAAAATCCCTTACCTACTTTTAACCCTCAGATCTTGTCCAGCGTGACCATTCCCAGCTATTATTGGTCTCTTCTCTTACCTACTCTCAGTCTCACACACACTTGTGATTAGTTCCAACCATTAACCAGTCCTCCTAACCTTCTAACCCCTGTTTTCCCTGGCCATGGATATTAGTCTTCAAATATATATGAATATATATATCCCAAATGAATGTAGTCTTTCTATACCTGTCCCTCTCTTTTGACTCATTTCACTCAGTATGATAATCTCCATGTCCTTCCATTTATAGGTAAATTTTATGACTTCATTTTTCCTAAAAACTGCATAGTATTCCATCGGTGTAGATGCGCCATAGTTTCTTTATCCATTTGTCTGTTCTTGAGCACTCAGGTTGTTTCCAGATTCTGGCTATGGTGAATAGTGCTGCAATGAACATGGGAGTGCAAATGGTGTTTCTGCTGTGTTTTTGGGCCCTCGGGGTATATTCCCAGAAGTGGTATTGCAGGTTGTGTAAACTCAAAAAGACAGCAGCGGTCTATCTCTCCCACCGCCTGCGTTCAATAGTCTCACGACGGTTCCCCCACCCCAGGGGAGGTTAATGGTGATGGGCAGGCGAAGGAAGGAAACAAGGGCCAGGCTGGTTGGTGTCAGTTGCAGTTTGTTCCATTCCCATCTCCATTCTCCTCTGATTCTCCTCCTGCCTCTTCCTCCCCCATGCTACCTCATTCTCCTCCTCAATCCCCCTTCATTCTCCTTCTGACTCTGGAATCTGGATCTGGATCCCCTTTCTCCTTCTCCTTCTGGAGTCTGGATCCTGATGCCCACTCAGGGACACCAGATGTGTAAACACAAAAGGACAGCAGCGGTCTATCTCGCCTGCTGCTCGCATTCGGTAGTCTCAGGCTGCTTCTCCCACTCCAGGGGAGGTTGACAGCGCTGGGCCAGTGAAGGAAGGAAACAAGAGCCAGGCTGGTTGGTCTTAGTTG